ACTACACACATAAAAGTGAAATTGACCAAAGGCAGCAAAGCCGAGCCAAACGAGCCATCAAAATTGAATGTGAATCGAAATCTGGTGAGCTCCATTGTTGCTCCTTGGGTTTCTCAGGGGTCTCGTATGGGGACCAGGTCCTGACCTCCTGACTGGGATCCTCCTCCGCCCTCTGGTTTCTCGGGCTCTGGGCGTTGATTGGCCAGCCCACATGCAAAAGTCAATGGCAGACAAAGTTCCGGCCACCTTGGGGCGTTCTGCCCTTCGCCAATCATTCGCAGGGTCAGAACAAACAAAATAAAAAGCGAAAAGAGCGAAAAAAATTAAATGAAATCCCACTGAAACCGAACTCGAAGCCCATTAACTGCGCTCGAGTGGATAACCTTTTCAGTTTTTTTTTCCTTTTTTTTTTGCTCCGACTTCGAGTGGAATTTTTAATTGCGTGAAGGAAAAATGTTCGACGATGGAGGCTCGCAACTCATTTCAAAGAAATCACTTCCTTCGAGAAATGTTCGGGGCCCGAAAAATATTAATGGCGCGCATCCTTCGCGTCCTTGACCACCCACTTGTTAGCCTTGCGCCTTCATGGGCAGAAAAACAAAGCCAGGTCGACCGACACTGTTCACAAATTTGGTAGTATCAAGGTAGTATCATATTGTTAATTATAATCATGCTATTATTGAATCATAAGACATGTCCACAAATCACTATAATATGTATTATTTTATATTATTCATAGCATCTAATCTGACATCTAAGCTGAGCTAATTACTTCATGAGTACCAATTTTTTCAGTGTAGTGAGGCGACGTGGAAGGGCAAGGGCGCTGTGGGCTGCGCCACCAAGTGCTGCTTTGCATTTAATTACGCTTAAAAATTAATTAATTTCTTTTTTGTGCGGAGTGACTCGGGTCTCGACTCTCGAGTCCTGAGACATAATCAAGCTGCCGCTGCCAAAGAGGACTTTAGTGGCGGCGTCGCCAACGACGCCTTAATGTATGCTACATTGCGGCCACTTTTATCTGCTTGGCATTATCCTTGTACTTGATGATGGGTGGGGTTGGGCGGTGGGCGGTGTGAGATGGGCGGTTGGCTGGTTGGGCGGTGCGCACTTGTGTGCCTTAAATAATTCAACAAGCGCAGCTTCGCGGTTTCCACCAGCAGCAGCAAAAACCACAGAGAGCCAGGACAAGTCAAGCATTGTTAAATGCCAAGGATAAATTCGCAGGTCTGGGTTAATCCGAACTGTTTGGTCACACTCACACACAGCAGCCACAAGTCCATTATCCTGCGACTTACAACGTTTTGATAACGCTTTGATCCCTGATAATAATAACCTAAAACAATTGCAGAGGGTAAGGAGAAGGCGTAGCTCTTGTGAAATGCACATAAATATTTGAATAGATAGAAGCGGCCTAATTAATTAAGTGTAAATGTGACTACAGAAGAAAAAATATAATCGATTGAGGCTAATTGAAAATGTTAATCAATTCCAATGTCTTTAGAAAGTCATTACTCATTTACTTGCCAGGTTATAATCCAATGCAACTCAACTGCAAATAAAGGAAACACTATTGTGAATTCTTTTCTCAAACCATGTATTTCATTCAAGTTACAAAATTCAAAAGAAATTTTCCCCCGGCTGACATACTGATCTCTTCACTTTCGCATACCCATTACAAGGTATTTCTGTGTTCCAAAAACACACAGTAATTTATGGCTGAGAAGTGCATTTGTTTTTCCCTTACACATCTCTCAAATTGTTTATAATTGCATATTCCTCAGTCGATGCCCCTGAAAATTTTGGACACAAAGCAGAGATCTATTTTCGAGAGTATTTCGTTTCTCGAAGTGAAACAAAGGCTAAGCGGTTTATAGACTGCAATTGCAAAGGCGAATTTTAATAACTCAGTGTGCTGCTGTCAGGAACAATAGCAGCAACTACAACAAGATGAGCAAACAAACAAGTAAGCTGGAAAACTGGAAAACCGCATTTTCAAGGTCGTTTACAGTGGATGTTACAGTTGTTGCAGCCCATCGCTAGGCTATAAAGAATGCACACGAAGAATAAAACTCAAATTAAAGCAAAAGAAAAACATTTAAGGAATTTTAGTGTTATTTATATAGACATTTCTAGATGCAATCTTTCAACAATTTATAATAAAAATATATCACAAATTATTAGTGTAGATTTTACTTCGAGTATACAATGTAAATGTTTGTGACTGAATCGAATTTATTTGTTCTCCAGCAAGAATTTTGGGTACTGCACTTTTCACTCAGTGTGCGTGCATTGTGTTTGAAATTTTCGTTGTTTTTCGTTGGTTTATTTTTGGACCATGAATTATTCAGTGAAGCATAACACAATTGAATATTTCATATTTGCAATGCAATAATATATATAATACGGCTAACAAAGTGTAAAGTACTGCAAATTATTGCTACAATGTGTGCGATTTGATTTGGGTAAACAGTGCGTATACTTATTATGAATGAAATTGCGTCCGTAATATATATTTAATTTGATTGAGAAATACATGTGTTTGGAGTGCCAGCTATGACGTAAGAAAAGCGCACAGATTTATTTCTTGGAAAATGTAATTTTGTACAGAATTATTTTCCTTTCGTTTGGTACAACAAAATGATTTTCTTTCAGGTGAAAGCTGAAAGCAAACTTTTCCACACAAAACATCCGCCTGACCTTCAGGTTACACATGCCTACGCCTAAGTCATATCTGTTTTCTCAACTATAAAAATACATACGTGAAAAGCTAGAATTACAAATACACATAAATATGTATGCAGCCGTTAAAAATGCGTGTGTTTGGATGAATGACTTTGGCTAAAAGCATTCGTTGTATCGCATATACGTTATACGTATACCCCGCGTATATATTTCTCGCCCTTTTTTCGAATCTTGCTGCCTGCAAACGTAAATAAATGCCGAATAAAACACATGGCCGTTGGCCTTTTAACGCAGACATTTCACTGGGAGACTGGGACAGGAAGCAATTTGTATGCGAGTGTGTGCCCAGGTGGGCAGGTGGAAAGGTGAGGTGGCGAACAGGTGAGCTGGTGCGCTGGTGAACTGGTGCTCACCTGGGGTCAGCGGGAGGGCGTCACAAAAATTAAAAGCGCCGAAAAAGTAGAGCAATAAATATAAAACATTCGCTTGTATCTCATTCACTTTGATAGGGACTTTAATGTCATTGAAATTATAATGATGTGTGTTTTTATGTGCGACCATAAAAAGGGAGCCGAAATCCAGTCCAGAAGCCGGAGGCTTGATAACCATCTCGGTTTGAAGGCCCCAGGACAGCCAAAAATAAAAAGGGAATACTTGAACGCATCGTCGCCTATAAGTCCCTAAAAGAAAAAAGGAAAAAAATAGAGGTTGCCTGGCCGAAAGTTGACCCTTATTTCTGGACACCTCAATCGATGCCCATTTCAACTCACAGCTAAATGCGTTCACCTGGCCAATTTGTTATTTACGCCACATACGTGTTGATTCTTTATATATGCAAATACCTTAGCAAATGCCCGTGTACATGGTTCTATTGCTCTATCGATCGAAACAATTTTTGGCCTTTATGTATGCCAAAGCGGAAACCGGAATTCGTTGCTCAGGTGTAGAGAATGATTCCAAAAAACATAGTGTGCTACGAAATGGAAATTCCAATAATTGGTGTAAACTATTTTCCTAGGTTGCAAAATGTTATTTTAGTGGCCCTTCAAAAAGTATTTCATTTTGATTGATTAAAATTTAAAAGATTTATACGGCCGCAGTTCCTATAATTTAGTCCACCCTCTAGATATTTTATCTCAATCAATTATCTCAATGTACTTTCGTACTTTTAAGATGTAATTCCTGTAAGTATAATTTAAAAGGGCTAACAAAACAGGGTAATACCGTAGATTTCCTGCTAATAGAGCATGCCCGCACCCCGTTTCTCTTCGCTTAAGCCATCCACTCCTCGGCGGGAAATTCAGCTGTGTTTATTTGAGCTTCGAGTGGGTCGGTTAATTAGCCAACCACTAGGGTCGAGATGAGTTCATTGAAGTGCATATTTCAGGCCCAGCTGAGGCCACTCGATTCAATTAATTTCAACTGGCGAACAATGGAGGTCGCTTGCTAATTGGCCAGCCAGCCAGAGGAAAGGTAATCAAAACAGCACCACACCAGCTAGAATCGCATTTACTTGGCTCGACGGTGGGTGACCCGAAAGCAGACCAAAGATATGTGTGTGAGTACACAGCTGTATCAATTAGGTGGCCCACAAATTTGTTGATTCAAATGGATTTGGCCTGGGTCGCCGACTGGCACACCAACAATCACAATTTACGGAAGACAATAGACAGTCAGACAGACAGGCCAATAAACCAACATTTACATTGGCCCGAAGAAGGGCATGGGTCGCAGGGCAGAGGACATGAGGCTCTGGAGGCAGCGTCACTTAATCGAATTATGCAACTACATCAACAGATGACACAAGGCGAATCCAGCTGCAAATAACTGCATTAACATATTCGATAACTTCATCAGCATATAGCCAGCATATCCTTGCCGCCTGTCTGACTGCATTTTAATTAAAATGCGCATACGGAATCAACAGCGAGGCAGGGTAGGCCTGGCACTTTACGGCCAGACAGCTGGGAAAATCGAATCTTTTAGTCAAATTTCCTGAAAACCCAACAGCGGCGAGCACACACAAACAGGATCAGGATGCCGCAATTCAGAATTTCCACTATCCTGCCAGTAATTATGATTATTCATGGCCAACATCATTTACGAATTCTTTGCCGATAATGGTATATCTGTACCAATAAAAGGTTTAATTATGCAGTTAAAAATATTTCAAAAGTAATTATGTTATCATATCACTTCATAGGCCATTCCAATAAGTGTGTCTTCGATATTTTCCAGGGTAAGGTGATCGTCGAGAGTGGCAAATCATTTCGCCATCCCATAAAGTGCGCCCAAGTTGAGTGCGGTCGGGATGCTTGGGCTCTGACTTATGGGTAAACTTATTCCCCAATATTTATATGAACTTTAAAGATATGAAATTCTTGTAAATACTCAGTTGCAATGATAAATCGTATCCTCCGAAGGGCTGTGTATATGACGGTTATGTGACGCCGACTTTCCCGATTGCTGCGAAATGAGTTTCAAATGCAACTATGCTTAAAATTGTGCGTTTACGTTTTGCAAAGTACGTCAAATTGAGCATGAATAAAATATAAAACATATTTACGAAATTCGAGCTAGATTGTAGTTTAATTATATGAAGATATTAGATACAAAAAAGTAGCTTTTACAGTTTTGGGTACATTCCTCGATGGACGCGCGCACTTGGTTCCTTTTAGTTATGCTCCTCTGGATTCTTTTCGACGCAGGCCAGTCGGCGGAATGGGAGGACATCCAGTACGACCCGAGTGAGTGCAGACAACCGCAGCTGACAGCTCCATTTTCAGCTTCAATTTTCATCCACAGGCCATCCTGGTAAGTGCACCATCAACCCGGGAGTCGTCCTGAATCCGGGGGTTAGCATCAAGGATCCCACGCACGAGTGCCGCAAAATCTTGTGCGGACTCAACGGACGTGTCGTTTACCACAGGTGAGTTGGTTACTTTTCGATGGCTGGAATGCACATCTAACTGTTCCTTGGCAGCTGCGGAGTGAGCATCCTGCCGCCTCCTTGCCGCTACGGTGGATATATCAATCCAGATCTTCCTTATCCGGACTGCTGCAGCAAAGCCCTACTTTGCAACTAGGCAGCCGATCGCTCGTGTTCAATTGGATATATTTAATATTTCTGTCGATATCTGTGCAGAATGTTGTTTGTCCCAGAAACGTTTATTATTTATGCACCAAAATTTTCTGCCTTGGGATACGACTGAAATTTCTAGTTGGAAAATGTGTTCACTTGTTAATTAGGTCATAGTGCATTTTTCGAAATTAAGCAAGCAGCTAACAAGGTTGTGAATAAATCAATTTCACCCCAAAATATGCTAATTTAATAGCTTCATTCGCTGCAACACTTTTATAACCAACTAGCTAAACAGATTTAAAAGGTTTTATTCTTTCTTACCCCTTGGTGAGTACTCGTGCTGGTCGAGATTTATTGAACGCTGGCCAAGGATCCAGATCCGGATGCGGACCTTCTATGGCCTTCCGTGGCCTTCAATTGCTCGATGGCTTCCCGGGGGATTGGAATTGGATTGGGAATGGAAATGGGAACGGGCCAAAAAGAGCCGGAAAGATAAGAGGGCAGCGTGGAGAAATTGAAACCACAGCAACAACACTAATTGACATTTGAATGCGACTGCGGGGCAGATTAAGCCCCGGCTGCATTGCGGGTCAAATGTGACGACCTCGACAGTTGCTCCCAATTCACAGCCATCTCGGTTTAAGGCCAAATGCCCCCACCGAACCCGAGTTCTCGCCCACCATCAAAAGGCCAGCATTTTTCCCCAGTCGTGTAATTTTCCACAGCCTGCGAATGCAATCAAAGTCGCATCTCAATTATGTGATCGATTGCCGCTGAACAGTTGTTCGCAGCTAACTGTTTAATTATTCAATTCGATTTACAACCATCAAATCAACATTTAGTGACAGAGATGCGCAGTAAGAGTTATGTTTTTGGAATTAGATCGCTTAATAATTCAATCGATACAATAGGAAAGTGGCACATATGTTTCACACTTGTTTAGAGCTCTCTAAATTATTTGTTACTCATTTTTTCAGTTCGATATTTATACTATTATACTATTTATTTAAGGACTGACTCTAGTTAGTGAGCCAGTTTCTCATATCTAATTCGCAAATCAGGCCGATAAGAGGTGCTTTAGCTAATCCGCAAAACAGAAATTAATTCGGTGGCCGTGTTAAGCGCATTTAACTGGAACTAATTTGCGCAGGTGCATGTATTGACAGCGGATTTAATTTAAACTTACACGCATACCATTTGCGAGTTTCACATTAAAATTAGCATTGGCTAATGCCTTCGATGGTGTTGGAATTTGCACAAGTAATGTGCGGATGTGTGTGGCCATTAACCCAAATTCGAGTGGAGGACCGACCGAAAAACACGCCACAAAAGTTCCGATTCTGCAAGGACCAACTGGGCAAAGAAGTCGGGTTTTCTTTGTTTGCCCAACCGAAACTTGACCATGGGGCCACAAAGTTTCGAGAAATGGAGAAATGTAGGAGAAATTTACACAGTACGGGGACCGCAGCTGGTTTTTAGTCGCATGCGAGAAGCGCCAGCCTCAGCATAAAAAGTGAATATTACACTTTTATTTTTTTGCCCACTTTTTGTGGCGCATTTTGGGTAGAGGGCCAAGTTAAAGCCTTGTGAAAACACATGTACATACAGCATTTATAAATTGGCAGGGAATGGTGACCTCTCCGTGTGTGCGAAAGGTGAAGGTTGGCTCGGGTGTGGATTTGGATGTGGATGTAGATGTGGAACTGAATGTTGGCCAGGCTACAAATGTGTACATAAACGGAAACTGAAATAAAAGTAGGCGCAGAAGAGGAAAAATTCGGGGGCCAGTCGACGGCTCAAAAACTCAAATTCAACCGCCGCACGGCATATAAAATGTAAAAGGTGCAAAGGAGCAGCTAAAATATGCAAACGCACAAGTCCTCGCACCTTTTTACAATCTATATATCCACATCCACGTGGGCTGGAAAATCTTAAGCTCCTCGAATGGCAAACTACAGCCAAACCTTATTTATTCATTACGTTTCACGCGCTGTCTTTCGCTGCCTTAAAAAAGGAAACTCCATTCACAAAAGCTAAAACGAGATGGACTAATTTAAAGCTTCTCTAAAGATATTTAAATATTTATACACATTCACAATTCATTTATTCCACAGAGGAAATCAATGAACATGGTTTTAATAATGTAAAAAAATTCTTCTTTTTAACCACTCTTAATCTACTACAATATACGTATTAAAGCCACAAAATATACAGCGTTACATTTGAATGCAAATCAATTTTAGTATAACGTTACATTTCAATGCCATAAATCAGATTATTCGCGGAATCTAACACGCTTATATTTCTGACATCAATATAGTAATATTGTCACGGATCTGCCAAAAGTATTATTATTTAAACAAATTTATACATTTTTATCGCTTTAACAACTCATTTTCCGTGGTTGCAAAAAGTGAGAACTACATTTCGCTTATTTTTTGTGTTTTTTTTTTTTTTTGCACAGAAAGAAGCTATGGGTATCAAAAATATCCTCTGAAATTGAATTTTTCCCCTTCAATGCTCGGTTTTTTTTTTTGTGCCTGAGAGGAGTGTATCCTTGTTTTCCTTCTTGTTTTGTTACTCGAATGTGTGTATGCAAAATAAATTATGAGAGTAAGGCACTGCGGACTGTTGCTTTTGTTTTACGAGCTGTTGGCAAAGATTGTTGCCATAAAAATGTTCCGGAGGTCGGGTGAATTTTATTCGCCATGATTTGTAGTAGTAACCTAATGTAATGTCTGCCATGAATTATGAAGGAGACATTTTCTGACCCATCTGCTTTCTTGTTACTCAAAAGCTATCGTTCAATTGGAAACCGTATTTTGTTATAGAAAGCAAGAGTTGAAAACATTTCATGGTTGAATGCGTTGTATATTCTATTTTTGCAAATTAGTAATGCCAAATCCACTGTCATAACTCAGTCGACTTTCACACTTTGCACTGACTTACAAATGAAGCTACTTTGGTTAATGATAATAGGTAGATATATGTAGATCCTATATGTTTCCTAAAAATATTCTTACAAATTAAATAAAAAAAAATTGAAACAAATTAAAAACAAAGGTGTTGTTGCCGCGCAACATTGTGATAAGCTCTGCCCCATCAAAGATAACTTCGGATGTGTCAGCAAGGACAAACAATGCTTTTATACCGTGCGCAATCCATGTATTTTGAAGGCCATTAACTGCCAACGGAAGTCGATGAGCTTATCGGGTAAATATCGATCGTGATTGCTAACTATAAATGGCCCAAACTTTTTGTTTTAGTCCTGACGCCCATTTCTCGCAGCAAGTGCTCCGAAAAGCAAGTTCCAGTTTGCAAAGATGTCAATACATGATGTTTAATGTATATATGATTAATGACGATGATTAATGTATATACATAAACTTCCAAAATTATTTTTGTCTATTATCACTATAGATGTAGGCCATTGGGTGGAATAACTCACTTTAATATGCTTAAATAGTTATGCACTTCCTAACAAACAAAAATTGTAAGTAAAGCCAATAAGGGTGTGCAGTGGTTAAGATTCAAAAGCAAAGTTACGTATACGCCCCGTTTTCCCTTCGCTCAGCGCACAAAAGTAGGCAACATCATGGCCATTAGCCAGTAACTAGTTTAGCTGTAATAGCCGGTCACTGTTGTCTAATTATAACAAACTGTTTCCATTACACGCCCATTATGCCACGCCCAGTCTGCAGAGGGTCTATATTTATGGGCGTGTTTGGGCGGTTAGCTATGTCAATCTCAGCCTGAGAAGTCGTTTATTCACGTATATGGTAGAAAACCCAACATGACACAAATCGAAAAGTTTATTGACATTTTCTGCTGTTCAGGCTCGCCTTCGTCATCGCTATGAGCGGTTTTTCTTTATGCCCAATAGAAATATTATTATTGTGAGGCGAGAATAATTACCAAATTTAAACCAAAATAACATCGGTATATTTCAAATGCAAATGTCTACCATTCAATACAAATGTGTATGAATTTAGCGTCAGAAGCTGAATGAGTTTTTGTTAATCGAACAGCTTTGATTATTATCGTTTCTCGTCTCATTGTAAACATAAAAAATTATAGTAATAAAAAACCGATGTGCTGACTGCCAAATTGATTTAGGTGCTTTTATATGCTCCGCAAGCAAATGAAACTATTTATCTCTGGAGAAAAAAAAGCACATTTGAATAAAGTGTCGATGTGGGCGTTTAACATTCAAACTTTAATTATGTGTTTGTTTGCTGGCCTCGCCTGTAGCTTTTTATGCGACTTCATGGCTTATTTAAGTTGGAGCTCAGTTGGGGAATAATCGATTGAGCGAGGAAAATGACGAAAAAAGTGAATGTTTGCACTTACCTTCAGAGTAGGCCACCAACTAGAATCTGCTGCGCCAAGGATTCAGAATGAGGATGAATGGGGGGTCGCACCGAGGAGAACAGCCAAGTACAACCACAATGGCCAAGTAGATGGATGCCCGGGCTTCTTGGATGTTTGGATGCGCGGATGCTGCAGGATGTTTGGATGGTTTATTCTTGTCCAAGGTAACGCAGACACACGCGTGCTCCGGCAAGGCAAACACACACAAAAACGGAATCAACTCACTGAAAACGACCACGAAATGTTGCAATGTTTTTCACCGCTGTTGTTACGAAAATTCACGCATCAGCAGAAGGCAATTTTCTTAGGCTTTGTTTCGCTTGCCCTCTCTCTTTTAATTAGGCCAAACTAACTGGCATTATCTGCATTCGTAACGATTATGGCCAGCATTGTTCCGGCAATATTAATGTAAATGTGGGGCCAGCTGGCATAATGGCCACCACGCGAATTAATATTATCTCAATGCCAGATTGCGTATACGCCGCGTCGGCGCAATGCCAATCGCACGATTTTCGCTAATGGCATTTCAATACGCAATACAGCAGGAAAAACGGCTGGCTGACCACAGTGAAGCCTTTGCATGAATAATGCATGCTTTTTTATTACACCGCCCAAACACAGACATCATGTGTGTGCTGAATAATAGAAAAGCTGGCGCTTAATAATGCACCGCATTGGAAAAGGCAGCGTGGGCGGTTGGGCCAGGACCTGTTTTGCATAAAGGTCATCCAGTATACGACAAACTTCAACTTCATGTGCAACAGTAATGAAAAAGTGGGTGACTTTTCCGCAACCCGTTGCCCTCTTCTTCGCCATTTAAGTTCGGACATTCAAAAAGAGATTTGTACTAACTGGACAAACTCTGGAACAGCATGTGCTGGCCAAAAGTTGTGCATTTCTAATTTAGCCATGTTCTCGGTGTCCTCAAACATGAGTACTGGTATATGTAGAGAGTTTCTTATTTCAAATAATGCATATTTAAACCAAGGACTTCTAGTTAAATTTTTTTAGAAATAAATCTAAGCAGATTTAAAACGATTCTTTAATATAAGTTGGTTTCTGTTTATCTTCATTATTAATTACTTTCCACATTAATCGAATTCAGATCAGAAATCTACTTGGCAGTTACTTTTGACTTGATGCGAACTCAACATCCTTTTATGACATTGAAATGGCTCTTTGTGGCAACTGTTGTTATTGACGGGACGAGTATTACAGGACCTTCCACAAAAGGAGGAGGTTCGGAGAGCGAAAGAGCGACGGAAATGCAGAAGCGAGACAGGTGTCAATTGTGTTGTGTTACCTGTTACATGCCCTTGGCTACCACTGTGAGAGTGTGTGTGTGTAGTTTTGAGGAGGGTGTGCGGAAGGAGTCGCAGCCTCCTTGGCAGACTTAACCCGTTGGATTGTCTGTTTTGGAGGCTATGGGAATCGTAAATCGCATGCAAATGCCCTCGTATTGTCGCGTTTGACGGCGACTGTCGCATTAAACTAAGTGACAAAGAAGGACATTAAAGTTTGTGGGCTAAAAGAACCTGGTAGACATACACACACACACACACACACACACATAATATTTTCCCTTGCCATGAAAATGTTGATGATGATGATGATATTTTCTGATATTGTTCATTACATTGTTGTGCTTTTACGACTGTTATCCTTGAGTGAAGAACTTGCTACAGGATGCTAACACGGGCACACACACAAACACACTCGCACGCTCAAGCAAGCACACACACTCACACGCACACGCATGTGCGAAAGGAGCGAGCTTTTACGGCACTTTTTGCCTAAACCGTTAGTTTCCGCCAGCAAGAAGAGAGAGAAAGAGCGAGATTCGGATTGAGCAGAATTTTCACCTTCGCACTTTCAACTTTATTTTTTTATTCAACTTTCAAACTTTTATATATCAAATGCATTTGTTATGATTATATTTAATAGATCTTCTTTTGTGTGTAGGGGCACAAAACACGACTTTGGCTCAAACCGGTCACTTTGAAACCACTCATTCGAAATCACTTCGCTGCAGGAATTTCTCGCAGTGTTTTGGCCTGGGCCGATTATGAATATGTTTTTCAATTTTTAAATATTTACAGTCGCGCCTCTAGCGAACACAGCACACACGGTATGTTGTTCCGTCGCCCGTTGGATTAGAACTGAACCTGAATGCCAGCGAAATGCTAACAAGTTCGTTCGTGAGCACGGCCGCAATTTCCACTGAGCTTTTCCTCGGCGTGGGTGGCGCAAGAGAGGCGAAAGAGAGAGTCACACGGCTTAAGAGCAAGACCATACAGCGTGGCATTTAAATAGGAGCACCAAAAACCGTACTACCTTGTCTAAAAAAAGTACCACAATTGCGGTGATAAGAACTGTCCATTAGAAAACCAAACATGATTTCCTTCGTTTACCAAATCCGTTCCGAAGGTCCAATTTCTGTCGAATATGTTATTTTGCATAAGGTATTCGGATACCAGGCGCAGTTTGTCTTCAGTTTCAAACGTGATTAATTCCGCATATAGTCGTCGAGAAAATTCGTAGGCATCAAATCAATTCTTTAGTTTCGTTCTATAAAATAGTAACCGTCTCCAATCTTCATCATCCATTATTGGAGTTATACAAATCATAAGCTCCTAATTAAACAATTAAAATTGATAAGCCTCAGTTAAATTACATTATAACTTAATCGAATTTAGCAACCAAAAACAGGAAAAGTCTTACTAAAAGGTAGATCAACTAAGTTTAACAATCATTGTGATAATGAAAATCAAACCCTGAGTGAACCAAGATATTATAATATATTACCATGGCTTATAACGTTTACACTTCAGATTTCAAGAGTAAGCTTGATAGTTGCTTGAAAATATTTTTATTAAGTATTAACATTTTTGAGGGTACTCAAAATTGTACCCGGTACCATTGATCGAAAATCTTCCGAATACATGATATTTATTGAAAAACTATTTTTAATCTTACAACACTATTTTCAATTTCTTTAGAGGCTTATACCATATTTCTGGTTAGGTTAAAGAAACTTACCACTTACCACTTAAAAAAAAACTATTCTTTAAGATTTTAAAATGTGTTCTATAATATGCCATCGATATTCTTGTTAGATAAGATTATCGAAAATCGGAATATATGCTAAGATAACAACGTTGCGTTCGTGTAAACAAAAACAAGGAAAACCTAAACAGATCGGATTCATTTCAGTTCAGACTCATTTGCAGATAGAAGAACCATTCAAGGCATGTCCGACGAGTACGCCTGCGTTGCCAAGAGCAAGCTTAAGCTAAAGAACGATTCGGATCTCAAGAAGAAAAAGAAGAAGCACAAGGGCAAGGACAAGGAGGAGCTGCAGAAGGCGTTTGTGGAGCAGCAAATAGCGGAAGCGGGCGCCACATCTTCCACCACTACCAGTGGGTACGAACGCAAGCTCACCAAAGCCGAGCTGGCCAGTAAGAAGCAGCAGGAGAAGATGCGCAACAAGCGAATCATGGACAAGGCACAAACCACCCACAAGGAGCGCGTGGAGAAGTTCAACGAGCACCTGGACACGCTCACCGAGCACTTTGACATCCCCAAGGTGTCCTGGACGAAGTGAGGCGACGGCACTCGTAACTTAAAGCATACATTTATTATAAGGTTAAGTAATTTCGACTACGTTTCAACCTGGGACGCAGGAAAAGTGAGAGGGGAGGCCAAAATAAATAATCCAGATGGCACAACTAAACTAAATACACAGACATATGTAGTTACAACGTAAAGAGGGGTAGTTTCCAACTTTCAGTCCATTGTCCTTGGAGGGCGTTTGATCTTCTAGCGCGGTGCAATTAGCTCATACATGGCATACTTCCATGTCCACGAGCGCACCAATTGCTCGAACCGCTCGCGCTCGTGCTCATAGATGTATCCAAGTTCCGGCTCCATGCAGACCTCGGTATAAGGATCGGTCAGCAGGCTCTGCACCGAAAGCAGAACCTTAGCCACATTCAGCGCCAGAGACCAGTTGTGCTGCTGGAAGATGTCGATGCCCACGTCCCCATGCCGCGACACATTCGGATGCAGGATTTTGGTGAGGAATCGTACCGTGGGCGGCGTCATCGGATATCGCTCCGGAAAGTAGATGAACAGGAAGAACTTGCCGCCTTCGTAGGGGCTTCCTGGTGGCCCCAGGATTGTTGCCTGCCAGTAGTTGTTTTGTCGATCCAGCGGTATGGCCGATATGCCCTCAGAGTCGTAGCTGTTGAGCAGATTGGCTTCACCGCGAAGGAAGTTGTTGCGCATTACGTTTCCCGGCTCCCGGTCGCCCAGCTGTGGACCTGCCTCCTGTGCGTCCTGACCCCGACCGCCCATCTCAATCAGGCAAGTGCGACAGAAGCAGGAAGACATCAGCGCCCCGTACAGCCGGTACCAGTTGGGATTGTCAGCCAAACTGTCGAACAACGGCCAGCGCTGCTTGATATACGCCTTCCACATGCTCTGGGCCGTGTTTTTCCCGACAATGTCGTGCCATTGCTTGCAAACTTCACTAGCCATCCACAGCGACATGTCGTCCAGATAAGCGAATATCTTCAGCATAACCTCGACGGGTATTATGTTGACAATGTTTCTGCTGCTGCCACTTGCGCCACTTCCGCTAGCGGAGTTGTATTCATGGACTCGCGCCCTTCCATCGGCCAACTCATGCATGTAATAGGGCAGAGCCAAGGGAGCCGTGGCCCGTGGACGCTTTATGGGCAGCAGGAAGGGATTAATGGCCCTCTCGTGCTCAAAGTCGTGTTCCGGAGACTCGCGCCGTGGTGCCGCAGCTTCCGGCGCAGGCTGAGGCAAATCTATAACTGGTTGGGCTGGTTGTTGATCATGTGGCTCCATTGCTGGCTGCGGATTTGGATGCTGTGGGATAGCTGCCGGTTGGGGGTCCTCCAGATCCTCAAAGCCCATGATGTCCACATCGTTTTCGGTCTCTTCGTCCTCCTGCTTGTCCTTGAACGGAGGCTCGTCGTTCCCAGAATCCTCGTCGTCGGAGAGCTCCGTGAGCAACTCCTCCGCTCGCTGGGCGTTGTATAGGAAGGCGTGGCAGGCGCCGCACAACGGCTCCCCGAAGTTGGGCCCATAGTAGCCGTTGCACACCCAGCAGGTGTTACTATTCTGCGAATTGGAAAGGCTATTAATCGGTCCACAAGAAATTAGCTTGTTGTATACACACCGAAAAAGAGAAGGTCGGCTCTACCAACTGGTGGTGGTCCTGATCCGGATCGTCCGGGTCGTCCATCTCGTCGCCACTGCTGAGCAGTTCCTTCAGCAACTGTTCCTGGTCCTTTTGCTGCTGCGCTGGCACGCAGCTAGTCATTTTATCCAGAACACCCGAGAAACTGGTGCTAAAACAAATAAATAATCGACAACCGATAGACCATCTAAAAGTGTTACCAAGTGCTGTTAGCTTCAAGACCTTGCAATAAGTGTTGTGATTATCGAACTGTTGACCGGTCGATAACCAAAGCAAAACAACTGCTGGTAACGTCACACGTGCAATTTATGTGAAATTCATCAGCAAAATGAAAGCGAAAAAGAAGTTGGGTATGTAACGACGCTGGAAAATCAAATACTTCAAATGTCCCTTTACCCTGATAATTGTTTCAGGCGTGGGATTGAGCCGCCAGGAACGGCAGGTGCTCGTCATTGGCGAGATCATTCAGGAGCTCCTGAAGGCGCACGAAGCCAAAAAGGATGTAAACCTTAACCGGATGAAGTCTTTGGTATCCTCAAAATATGGATTGGACAGTTCCCCGCGCCTGGTGGACATCATTGCAGCCGTGCCGCAGGACGCCAAAAAGATCCTGCTTCCCAAGCTGAGGGCCAAGCCCATTCGCACAGCAAGTGGCGTAAGTCTCACTCGTTCTGACAAGGCGGATTATTAATTTCAATCATTTTAATACAGATCGCCGTGGTGGCCGTCATGTGCAAGCCGCATCGGTGTCCGCATATCAACATGACCGGTAATATATGCGTCTATTGTCCCGGCGGACCGGACAGCGATTTCGAGTACTCGACACAGTCGTACACAGGCTATGAGCCGACCTCGATGCGGGCCATCCGGTCGCGGTACGATCCCTTTCTTCAGACCCGACACCGCGTTGAACAACTGAAGCAGCTGGGCCACAGCGTGGACAAGGTGGAGTTTATCGTGATGGGCGGTACGTTTATGTGCCTGCCGGAGGAGTATCGCGACTATTTCATCCGCAACCTGCACGACGCCCTCTCCGGCCACAGCAGCGCCAATGTGGCGGAGGCCGTCCGCTACTCGGAGAAGTCACGCACAAAGTGCATTGGCATCACCATAGAAACCAGACCGGATTACTGCCTCAAGCGGCACATATCCGATATGCTTAGCTATGGTTGCACCCGGCTGGAAATCGGTGTGCAATCAGTTTACGAAGACGTGGCCAGAGATACGAACCGAGGGCACACAGTGCGAGCGGTGTGCGAGAGCTTCCAGCTGGGCAAGGATGCTGGCTACAAGATCGTGACGCACATGATGCCTGATCTTCCGAATGTGGATTTCGAACGCGACATCGAACAGTTCATCGAGTACTTTGAGAACCCTGCCTTCCGCTCTGACGGCCTAAAGATTTATCCCACACTCGTAATTCGCGGCACAGGTCTCTATGAGTTGTGGAAAACTGGGCGGTATAAGTCATATCCGCCATCCATGCTTGTAGACCTAGTGGCCAAAATTTTGGCCCTTGTGCCACCATGGACGCGAGTGTACCGTGTACAGCGCGACATTCCCATGCCGCTTGTTAGGTGACTTGACCGATATGAAATGTATTGAGTGTACTTGACATAATTCTTATTTTTAGTTCCGGCGTGGAACACGGAAATCTCCGCGAACTGGCGCTGGCCCGCATGAAGGATCTTGGAACCACTTGCCGCGATGTTAGAACCCGAGAAGTTGGCATTCAGGAAATCCACAACAAGGTGCGCCCTTACGAAATTGAGTTAATACGTCGGGACTATGTGGCCAATGGAGGCTGGGAAACGTTCCTCTCATACGAAGATCCTGAACAGGACATCCTCGTCGGACTTCTTCGGCTGCGAAAATGTTCGCCGGATACCTTCCGCCCGGAATTGAAGGACAAATGCTCCATTGTGAGGGAACTGCACGTATATGGCTCAGTAGTGCCAGTTAATGCGCGGGATCCCAGCAAGTTTCAGCACCAGGGCTTCGGTATGTTACTGATGGAGGAGGCGGAGCGAATTTCTCGAGAGGAGCACGGCAGCACAAAGTTGGCGGTCATATCGGGGGTGGGCACCAGGAACTACTACCGCAAAATGGGATACGAGCTTGACGGGCCATACATGTCAAAGAGCTTAGAGGAAAATTACTAAATCTAGCGTAACTAAATAACTGTCCTTGTGGTATGTTGATGGATTAAATATTTGTATTTTATCACGCTAGGAGCAGTAAGATTTCACTACTTAAAACTACTCTCTTAAATATATACATTAATATATAGAATGAATCGATTTATTGGCAAAAACTCACAGGGTCTTTTAAAGTATCAATGATACCTCATATTTTTCATATTTCTCACAAAAAAACGTATTGATCGTCAAACTTAAACGTATATTCTAAATATTAGATGCATGAACATAAATCGATCCACTCCAATATACCCACACATAAATAAATACGTTTGCTTTTGCTGAGAGCATGTGTGGGAGAGAATGTTAAACGATGGCTTCCGCCGAACCAAAGACTATAAATATGATCCAGCCAACCAAATTAATGCCAGCAGCAGCGCTAAACACCATCGGCCAGCTTTGTGTGAGCTCCAGAATGTGGCCTGCCAAGTAAACTCCGAGAAAGCCAGGAATTGCGCCCACTGTGTTCATTAGACCAAAGACGCTGCCCGAATGCAGAGGGGCTAGATCTTGAGGATTCACTGTTACCGCGTTGTTGTGGAAGCCCGTGCCGCCAATGATAATGGTCATGCAGATGAGGGCCGTATGAAAGTCCGAAGTCCTGCTCATCACAAACAGGGCCAAATTCTGAGCAGCGAAGCAGCAGCTTTGGATGAGCTTCCGTACCGTCGTCGTGTGCCATTCGCGAGCGAGTAACCTGGTCGTTAAATACTTGGCGAATAGCGTGCAGGGTGGCAAGGCAAGCCACGGTATCATGTTTACTACCCAACCCTTGGCGTGCGGGAAGCCATCGTGGAAGTAGGTGGGCAGCCACGAGAGCAACACGAAGAAGCAGTTCATCTCGCAGGCGTGGGTGAGCACACAGGCCCAGAAGGACAGTCGACTAAAGTAACGCAACCAAGGCACGGCTGACGTCTCTGCCGGACTCTTATTCGCACACAGTCGGGATGGTGTGGCAATATTAATAATTCGATTTCGCTCACCGGCCATTGCATAATAGCGCAGCACCAGCGCCCATGCAATGCCCATCATTCCAATCACCCGGAATACATACGACCAGCCGAAGTAATCTAGCAGAAACGATCCCATGATCCCGGTCAAAAGAGTACCCAAAGCCGATCCTGCTGTGAGCAGCCCAAAGAAGCTGCTTCTCTCATTGGGGCACAAATTCTGCGAATGATTAAATTATAGTTTAAGCGTTCATTTATACAATGAGGTAAGCACCTGACTGGTTAAACTAATCATGCTGGGAAAGTGGACGCCCTGAAGAGCGCCGTTTAGGATTCGAATGGCAACAATGACGGGAATTGCGTAGCTCTTGATGGAGCCCGCCGTCCAGATGATAGTGGGCATTAGGAATGTGATGAGTGACCAGCCGATGGCGGCGAACAGGATGACCCGCTGGCCTCCAAAGCGGTCGCTGAAGTAGCCGCCCACAACCTGCGTAAGTGTGTAGCCCCAAAAGAAGGAGCTGAGCACGGTGCCCGAGTCGGTTTTGCTCCATTTTTGGGCGGATGCAACGGCCGGCACAAGAAGTGGCATAGTGGTGCGGGTGGAGTAAAGCATGCAGGTGCCTGTTATCAGGGTGATGAACCAGACGCGCTTCTCTTGCCTGCAAGGATTAAACGGAGGAGTTGTAATTGGAGCGCATAAGTGATTTGTATGCTGTGAGACCCACCTGGTCCAAATGCTCTGCGTGTCCACCAGTTCCCCGCGCAGCAGCGAATATTTTAGCTTCTCGTCCATGGTCACAAACTGGGTCCGGAACTATTGCCACTGCTTCACGTCACATATCAACTGCAAGTGCTGCGTCGCTTGCCGCTGTGGCATATTTTACTGGCCTGTGTTTGCTTTCATTCACGTTGGTGACCAGGGCACGCCAAGTATCTGCGCGTGTTAAAATTATATTTTTACGTGGCCGTTTTTCCAACAGCCGCTGGACTGGAGCATAGTGCGGCTTGGTCGACTTAGCGATAGACTTGGCTTTAGAGCATATTATCTTTTTAACAATATTATACCTTAGATTTCCTATATAGCATTTGTAGTTGGAGCCAAATAAATATGTAAAATCATCAGAAAGGTTTATATTTCTTTTAAATTGACTATTTCTTAGAAATATATAGAAACATATTAAGTTAACTGCCTGTTGATGTTCTCTACTAATTCCGGTGTAGGGCAACGAAACAGTGTGCCCGTACATTGAGTTCGTTGTTTATGTTATGTCGATATGCCCTGAATGGATTGTCATTCGATAGCACAACATGTGATTTAGATCCTAACAGCACATTTAACGGCAATGTTTACGGTACGCCAATGAAGTAAACAACAATCTGCAACGCAAAAATCACTAACCAAAATCGTATGCATAATAATGTATTTAATATTGTCCATAACGTTAATTACTTGATTTCAGAAATATGAAGGAGAAATGCAGAGCTTGCTTGCTGGAGTACCAAAATATGGTCAATATTTTTAAGCCAAGTGTGGAGCTTGAGATTTCCCTGGCCGATATGATTTCACAGTCCACCGGCTTTCCAGTTCACAAGGGAGACCCATTTCCCGATTTCATTTGCCTACTTTGCCTCAAGGATACGCAAAATGCATATAGAACTCGACAAGCTTACGAGCCGGACTATGACTTAACCTGCCAAGTCAAGGAGGAAATCATAGATGATTCACTAGGGGAAGCAGAGTATAATAAATCTAAAGGATCACAATATAGCGAGGAAACGGACCATTTCGTTTGCCTAGTAAAGAACGAGCCTTTAGAAGAAGACTTCCTAGATAAAGACATCTTTTTAACAGCACCTTACCAAATAGGGGATCAAAATGAAGATCTGAGTTACGAAAAAAACAAAAAGGTTAAAGCTTCTTCCGATGAGGCACTTTCTCTCAATAGTCCTTATTGTGCTGAGACATTTCGGAGCAAGTATTTTCTAAATCTCCACAAACATCTTCACATGAAGAAACAGAAATACTCATGTATCCACTGTCCGAAGACTTTTCTTCTTCCGGATGCCCTCCTAGATCACATGCACACCCACAATGCTTTATTCGAAGAAGAAGTCTGTCAGATGTCAAACAATGAAAATGATCAATTTGATGAGATTAAAGTGGATATATTTGAAGCTGATGATAAATACAATTCGGATGGCGAACCAGATATCACCGACTATTCTAATTTATTAAGATGCCCTCGTTGTCCAAAGATGTGCAAGCGCACTCAGGACCTAAAAGCCCACCAAAGAAATCATTTTGAGCAGCCGCAAAAGTGTCCCCACTGCCCCAAATCTTTTGGTATTATATCAACTTTTAACAGGCACTTGCGGGTTCATAAAAAAGAAAAATCGGTTATGTGCTCTTTTTGTCCAAAGGCTTACAAGAATCAGGCCCAGCTCAAGGAACACAACCGAACTCACACGGGAGAACGGCCGTTTCAGTGTCCCGAGTGCCCACAGACATTTACGTATAATTCCGTGCTAAAAAAACATATACGTACCCACACTGAGGAAAGGCCGTACACTTGCACCGAATGTAAAAAATCTTACCTACAACTAGATCATCTTAAGCAACATGTTCTAGAGCACCATTCAGAAAACGCAGGGGGTCGACCGCACAAGTGTGGCAAGTGCTCAAAGACCTACAAGTGTGCGAGATCCCTTCGGAGGCACATACTGATTCACAAAAGTGACAAAAAGTCCACATGTACTCACTTCTCAGAGTGACTATTTTTACACACAAACACCAAATTTATTATATGGCACAAATGCCTCCTGATGAACACCTTGGAAACTTACACGGAGAAAGCCATTTAGCTGTGAACATCTATTATTTTTAAGAGCAGACTATCTCGAGAAGCATGGCTTTATCATCGTTGGTTTCCATCATTGGAAACAGAATAATCAGTTAATCAGTCGGAGTATCAGGGATTACAATAAAGAAGAGAATCTTAAGACTTTTGAAATCCTTTAAAAATCAAGCTGGGCTTGTAATGCTTATTGACCAATGATTGGTAAACAAATATGTAAAAATTTTTAAAAATGCGTTTTATATTTGAATTTAAGAACCAAATGTAATGTTATATGTAATGTTCATCTTCTTAAGTAATAAACTATAACTACAAGGCTTAGTGGCTTGAGATCAACCGAAATGATTCATTTTTGTTTTCCTATTATTTCTAATATCCGCGTTATGAATCGTCTTCAGATTCTTTCTTTGTATGGCTTTGAAGGTGGTTTTGAAGCATGATATCCAATGCGTAGGACTCGGGGCACAGGGAGCACTTTAAGGGTTGCCAGTCGATGTGCTTCTTGCGAATGTGTCGCCTCATCTTATCTGGAGTGAGAAAACTCTTTGGGCACAGGAGAAGCGGACATCTTACAGTCGGTGTGTGGCTCCCCCGTGGATTCCAGCGATTCATTTTACGTGTATAAGCCTGCGATTTGCGAAAGTAGTCCCCTATTGGACAAGATTTTCTCTCCTTTCTAATATTGCTGTAGATTTTCTTTTGGTCGTCAGTGAATCCTGGTTTCGTAAAATGAGTCCGCATATGCAGCTTAAGGTTTACGGCACGCAAACAACGCTTTGGACAAAGAGGACACTTAAATGGTAGGAGATTGCTGCACTTTGCATTAGTCACTTTGCTACAGTCTCCAGGAACACAGGTGGTCTCCTCCTTTACGAAATAGTCGAATTGGTGAGGTTCCGTATTTTCGACGCCTGGGGATTGATCGGTTTTTCTAAATGATGCTTCGTCCATATTATCATCGATCCTCTCGTTCTTGACTTGATAATCGTATAGGAACGTCATCGATTCCCGATCTTCATATTTCTTCTCGTAGCTCTCTTGTTCGCTATTACCGCAGTCTGGTACTTGGTTATCTCCTTTCTCCAGTAAATCCTCATCAACGATCTCTTCTTTGACCTGGCAAACTGGTATTACGCTGAATACATCTACTAATGTGGAGGTAACGATCTCCTGCTTTACTTCTCCGTACAACCTCGCCATTGTCCTGAATTCGGTTATTTAAAACCAGGCCAAAATGCACAAAATTCACGTAGTTTTGTAGAAATAATTTAGAAACTTTAAGCAATTACTACAACTGTTTACAAACAGTTATCAAACTACTATCGATATAATATCTAAGAATTTCGATATTCATCGCTGTTATTTATAGTTTGCAATTTGAACTTTCAGTCTTTTAATTTTCTTTTCTGCATTGAATAAACAGAATTAAAAGTTTTAATGAGTTCGAGAGATTTATCATACAAAAATATTTTTTCTTTTTATAGAAATTCATTTGGCTTAAACATCTATATTTAGTATACAGTTCAAAAATGAAGTTCAATACGATATGATGCAAAAAATGAAAAAGTCTACTTTCTATAAGAAGTAAAATTAATGTGCAATGTTTATTTTTTAATATCAATAAAATGTTACTTCTGCCGCCAAATGCTGTTGCTCTCTGCTGTTATGAGCCTGCAAACTGCGCGTTAGGTCACTAAACATATTCGATAAATAAGAATACAATGTTATCGGCGATTTGAAATTTGTCTTTTGTCTAAAATGGCATATTTATATTGTTTTTATTTATACAATATTCACTTACATAAATAAATAGCTGCGCCGCCCAAGTCAGCACCTTAAATATTACAATTTGATCAATAATTGATTGTTCATTCTAATATGTATTTTTTACCTATTTTATGTTGTGTATTCAGATTAGATTTGGAAATATCGCACGAAACTTATATTATAGTAAAAAATCTACTTAAAATCGTGTTTGCTTTCATTTCTTGGGCAGTGCATCCTCGTCTGTGGGATCGCAGTCAGCACAGTGCCAGGAGTAGCCGCGAATCTTGGGCGACTTCTTAAGCGGCGGCTCGAGGCAGGCGAAGTGGTAGTGCCGGTGGCACTCGTCGCAGGTCACCACCTGGTTGGATTTGCCCGTCTGGGTGCATACGCAGCAGCTGATTTCCACATTGGGCTTGGCGTTGGACACTCGTGGCCGACCCACACGTGTCTTTCGGGGACTTGCCTTTCGTGGACTGACCTTTCGTTTTGGCGATGGAGTAGCGGTGACGGAAGCGGTGGCTGGAGCCTCCTTGGGCTCTCGAACTTTTTGCGGCGACGCTGCCGGCAGCACGATGGGGGCCAAGGCCTGCTCCGCTCCCTGAACACTATCTTCCACCGTTTCAACTGAGGTTGGGCGCGAGGCCTCATCCACGGAGCGCACCGCGTTGGCCGGCACGTAGAAGTATTGAGATTCAGGCGCATCCTCGCCAGGTAGACGCAGAGCCTTAAATATAATCTTAATGGTGCTGCCCGAGGTGTTGCCCACAGTATCCAAGTGGGAGGAAGATTCTTCGAGGTGGGCGCGCTTTTTACGCTTCCGTTTATGCTCCTTGCCGATAGATTTCTCTGTATCCGACGACAGGTTGTGTTTGTTTTTGTGCTTATCCTTTCGCTTGCCCTTGCGCGATAATTTTCCACTAGAGTCGTCTATTGAGTCCTCGCAGCCAGATAGGTTCATGGTGCTGGTATTGGGCGTGGGCAGAGCAGGAGGTGCCGCAGGAGTAGCCGACGAAGCAGCAACAGGAGCAGCCGCAGTTGTGGGAGTGACATTGTCGGAAGGAACTGGTGGCAGAAGATACGTGACATTAGTTTCATTATTTAAAGTATTTTACGGATTATTAAAGATACGCACGAAGTTTTTTTGTTTAATTTTAGTTAAAACAACATAATTCCTTGAAGTTAATACCAATTTGTTATAATTCAATGAAGGTAAACAAGGGTCAATGGATGAGATCCTTTTGATATCAATTTGTTTGTACAGGCCAAAAATAAACAATAGTAGGGAAAATCAAGTTTTAACAGAAAACAATTTGTTCATAAACAAAACAATCAAGCGAAAAAAACTGATAATTCGCGAATACATTTTACCAAAATATCAAAATACCAACCAAAGAACATATTCACATATTCAAAAATTAAACCAAAAACTTCAAATCAGTTTAGATTAACAAGTATTGTGAAGCAAAGTGAAATCCTTCACAACAAACTCACTATTAGTTGGTGTTTTACATGGTGATTGGAGTTTAGGCCTTTTCGGCGACTTAGTCAGATCCTCGATATATTCCGGAGCAGGAGGTGGAAGGGATTTGTTAGGCGTTCGCTTGGTGGGTGACTCCTTGGGCACGTTTGCAGCAGCCACTGGAATGTCGTCCAGCGAATATCGATCCACATAGACCAGATGACCATCCTTATTGAAGCGAGTGCGTGATTTTCTCGGGCCCGACGAGATCTCCGTAACGGCATCAGACCCTTCCGACTTGTCGCAGCATTCGGAGCACTGCCAGCCATATTGCTTGGATTTCTTTGGGGGACGAGTAAGCGGCGGATTCAGGCAGCCCAGGTGGTAGTGCAGATTGCAAGTGTCACATTTGACCAACAGATGCTGATCCTTACTCCTTTTACAGATGCCACACGACACAGAAGGAGCCGCCTCCACGGACGCCGAAGAACTGCTGTGTTTGCCCTGTTTGGCCTGAGTACTGAGCATTCGTGAAGAGTCCATTTTACTCCCCGGTGGGCCCAGGTGACCCAAAGGAAAGCCCACACCCATTTTCAGGGCAGCTGCCGTGGGCACTGAGATGGGTCGCTGGGGAGGAGTTGGCGTGCTCGTCTTGGGCGGTGCCTCTGGCAGTGGACGAGCTATGATATCCACGCTGGGTAGAGTCATGTTGGGTGCGATTTGAGCCAAAGAGGTGTGCAGAGATTTAATGCTAGTTAGCAGGGAATCCTTAGTGCCCTTCACCGCCTTGCGCTCCTCCAACGCGGTGTCGTATTGAGCCCTCAGCACGTCTTGATCCTTGGATAGGATGGCGTTGTGCGAAATAAGCTCCCGTTGCTGCTGACGAAAGTCATCCATTCGAACTATGCGGTCCATGTAGTAAGCGGTGAACTCAACGCTGAATGCCGGCGCTATGTGCCACTTCTTTCGAATGTCTGTCAAGGCGTTGATGTGCGCTTCCCGCTGCTCCAGATGTTGCACATCCACTGACATGATCTCCGCCTTGGCCAACAGGCGACGACAGGCTGAGGCCGAGGTGGTAAGTAGGCGCGACATTTTCTGGGTTGGCACCCACGGTGTGGGCTTAAGCTCCTTGTGTCTGGCATACTTGTTCTGGATCTTGAGCAGCTTACGCTGAATGCGTGCTTGGGCTGGATTCGGGTGAGGAGCAGGTGCCTTTTCGTCGCCAGCTGCCGCCTCTTTTTCTCTTGCCCGTTGCATCATATTTAACCGCAGTGTGTGATAGTTGCGTCGTCGCTTCTTGATCATCTCCTTCTCCGAGTGCACCTTGCAGTGGGCGTAGAACGGATCGGCGGCATCGTCCTCGTGGTGCGCCTCGATAAGAAAACCGGCCACTTGGGCGCAGGTAACGTGAAAATAGGTTTTGCACATGCCTGCATCACAACCAATGCAAACGCCCGAGCGAGCAAATAGAGCGTTTTCGCAAAGGGAACACACCTTTGCGCCCCACTTGCTGTACTGCATCTCGAACAGCGTCACCGAGGACAGCTGCTCCACTTCGCCAAAGGCCACGCCGGGCACATACAGAGCGCAGATGAGGTGCACCCACTTGCCCACGTCGGTCTCCTTGTAAATGCCGCCCTTATTGGGACAAAGCTCGCAGTCCGGTTCCGAGACACCAGCGCGACAGGCCTCGCAGAACCACGGTTCTGTCGAGCAGGTGGAGTTGGTACTGGATATGCTCACGTTGTCGCTGACCCCATAGCAGCCTTCGTGGACAGAGACGCCGCAGGAGTCGCACTCCACGATCTCGTTGACATCGTCGCTGCGTTCGCCCAGGCAGACGCAGCACATCCGCTTGGCCGGAGCACTGGACAGCTGAAGAGGCGGACGAGGCACTGGTGCGGCCGGAGATGTTCCACCGTGGTCCACTCCGTTGATTCCGTTCTCCAGCGGTGACGGCTCCGTTTCTGCCAACAGCTGCCGGAGCTGCAGCGTCGAGTCCTCGCTCTCCGCATCCGAATCCGATTCAGAATCGGAGCCACCACTGGCGTCGCTGCTGCTCCCGTCGCCATCGCTCTCGTCCTTCGATCCGTCCGAGCAGTTGTCGATGTCC